GAGAACAGGGAAGATGGATTGTGCAAAATACAGGCAAATTCTTGAAAACCTGCAGCCCTCAGCCAGGAAGTTGAAGAGGGGAAGATGGTTCACCATGATAGTGACCCAAAGCACAACACCAAAGCAACTGTACAGTGACTGAAGGACAGGAAGATGAATGTTCTTGAATGGCCTAGTCAGAACCCTGACCTCAATCCCAGTGAGAATCTTTGGAATGACTTGAAGAGGGCAGTCCATCAACGGTCACCACACAGTTTGACTGAGCCTGAACAATTCTGTAAGGAGGAATGGGAAAATATTCCCCTGTCTAGCTGTGCCAAGTTGGTTGAGATGTATCCAAACAGGCTCAAGGCTGTAATTCAAGAACAAAGTGTTTCCATCAAGTATTACATCAAATCAAATGCACAACAACACAGTGTGCAGCAGCAGTAGTTTCTGGCAATGAAATGTATTTTCTGCAAGCCCACAAAAATCACAGGAATCACAAAAACACAAATCACAAAATTAAGGTTAAATCAGGGGGGTGTTCTCTTATACGGACCAGTTATTTTACTTTTTTCAAGACATTTTGCTTTCTTTTTTCATGTGGATGTGGCAAGGTTTAATTTGTAAAGAAAACTGGAAAAAGTCTAATTTTGTGTGTCTTCTTTGTGGGCTTTAGGCCAACAAGAGGTGAACGTTTCGAAAGGGGGTGGTGGCTTTCTATACCCACTGTATCTAACTGGAGAACCAGGGTGCAGGTTTATTCCACTGCACGTTTCTTCACACCTGAACGCCTCCACAGCCGGAACGTTGCATCTCTTTTCTCTTCCTTTCAGCGTGGAACAAATATTCACCTGTTCCTGCTTCAGAGAGACTGACAGCACCGAGACTCTGCGTTTTAGACGAGGACGTCTCATACCAAATCGTTAAAATGTTATTCGCTGCAGTTCCGTCTGTGGAGCAGCCTACGTGGAGATTGTAGGCAGAGATAATCCTCTCTCGTGCACCACGTGGTGCAGACAAAGCGCGAAGAGACACCGGCTCAGGATCGGGTTACAGAAAGCGAAACGAGGCCCAGGGCTCAGCAGAGACTACGAGCACAGATGAACCGTCAGCGCTTCGTTCAGGACGTGAACGTGAAGAGAAGCCGCCCGCCTCGTTAATATAACTGTCTTATGTTTGTCTTTAATTAGGTAAGCGAGTCGGTTCGCGGTGTGTTCAAAGGCGCGTCATGTGCTCAAATATAAACCCATAAAGTAAAACCCTTTAAACAAATAAGGGAAGTTTACATGCGGTATTTATATAAATTGACATTTGATCTCAAGTTCTCGCTGATCGCTGTGAGGCTGTAGTTATAGGATATCGCCGCTAGATGTCACTAGGTTTCTACCACTGTGGACAGAAAATAAGGTACTCATGACTTCCACGTTAAATAAAATCCCCCGAAGAGATTGCAGAAACAAATCGGTCACCGAGCACAATAAATAAAGAAAACATCTCACGCATTTTTCTATCCGTTTAATTGCAATACAATCATTGATACGCTGGCATTCGTCTTTTCCAGGCTTGACTCTTGCAAGGTGGTGCTTACTGGAGTGTGCAAACCTGTTCTAAAAACAAGCTGCAGCATGTCCGGGCCTCACCTGCACGGGTCTCGACTAAAGCCAAGATGCATGAACTCCCCTCTCCTGTCTCGGCACGTCTCTCCTGGGGATTTCAGAACAGGACCCAGCCCACTGCTGCTCTCTCTGAAAGGCTCGAACAGTCTGGCTCCTGACTACATCTGTGACTGTTAACCTCCTGCTCACCTGCGTGTTGTCTGCAGGCTCTGGGGCTCTGGCCTGCTCTCAGATTCCAGAATTAGTCTCTGGATCCGGGGATATCCTGGGAGATTCTGCTTCCTGTTCTGTTTCTCCAAGACTGTGGACTGATCTCCCAGATCCTGCAAGCCAGTCAGCACTTACAAACCCATTGTAAAACCCTCTTATACTGTAGCTTGTAATAGTTTAATTACACCCGAAGAAGGCTCCACAGCCAAAATGTTGTTTTCTTTCTTCTCTTTTCAGCACGGAATAAACCTCTTGTTTCTTTGTAGCTTACGCATGCTGACGCAGCTCCCCACCTGAACTAGTTTAAATCATGTCCTACAGCTGGTTCTAATGTTTTTGCTTTCATTCCTTATCGTGAGGAGTCTTGTGGCAAAGTCATGGGACGAGCAAACCCGGGCAAGTTAATGTAATGACCGGAGGGTTTGCACAGAATGAAGCACACGCCTTTGACGCACAGGCACCACATTTATTGAACTTCTGCCCATCAGATTTAACAGTCAGAGATTTGGAACTCCAAAACAATGGGGCTTTCACACTTAGGGGAACAATTAGGATGGGATATGGTGGGTAACAGAGACATAAGGGGAAAGTAATAAACACCAGCAACTATTTACAAGGGTTACTCAGTAACGCACTACGACTATTTACACTGCAATGTCAGCCCCAGGTCAGCGCACTGACCACTAGTCCAGTCCCTCGACAGCTGTTCCCAGACTGCCTTGCGGGCGCATAGCTCAAGTGTCCGGCAAGAGCGCTACATTATTCTTTTGCCCCGACAGCACGACACGCTGAAAACCACAGAGCACAGCAGAGGGATGTGAGGAAGGGGAAGAGCTGGCTGCATAATCGCCAGGAAAGAGTCATCAAACGGACGACACCGTGCATCCAAAAACAGGTCCTACCGGCTGAGTCAGAACTCAAACCCCTGTCCTGTCAAACAAACAGAGAGGACGCGTATCAGCCTGCAGGATCTGCTGCTGCTCTTCCCCACCTGGCTGCCTCACCTCAGCCTTGTACTGTGCAAAACTGGAGGTCAGAGACACGCAGGACTGGAACCTTCTCCAGCATTGGTGTTGACCTTGACTGGACCTGGCTGCTTGGTCATTCCAGATCCTGGGGAGCGGTCTGTAAGAGTACAGCTGTTCACCCCAGTATGAGGGTTAAGTCCCCCTTGGGGCCACACAGTCTGATCTCCCTAAAGGTCCCCCTTAAATCAGCTGCTGCAGCAGTCTCTCTCCCCTGCCCTCGCGCTGCTGCGCGACACCCAGGTGGGGGGGGGCGTGGGTCCCCTCTTCTGCGGTTGGGGTTGAAGGGCGTTGTATGAAAGCAGGGAATGAATTCCCACTATTACGTGATGGAGGCAGCAGCTGTAACCTCCTCTCAGAGCTGGGGACTCCCAGCACCTTCACCTTTTTCAGGGACGGGTGCAAGTGCCCGGAAAAATGCGTTTGTCGTCATGCCGACGGGAAAATTCCAGACCGCACTGGGCAATGAGGCAGCAGCGTCACTCAGGGCGCCAGCTAACGTCCTTCAACGGGCACTACCGAAGCCACATGGCCAGCGGCTCCACACGCAGACGGGCAAGGCGTCCTGCACCGCCCTGGGCCTCAGGCCTGATGAGGAATATCGCACTGAAAAGACGGGAAGCATCCGCAGGAGGCTGACGAGCG